GGCGGGAAAGGACAGTCCAAGTCTAGTACGTCTGTGTGTCTAGCGGAGGATATTGTTGCACAAAGGCCGCAGCAAACAAAACTTTACCAACTCTAGCTCCTCGCGCACTTACAGGGCACTGCATTTCAACACTTTTTCACACTTCGTACAGACCGACCTTGTTGGATGGGAGGAAACACTCCAACGCAAGTTCTGGGACTGCTTTCCCTTATGCTGCTCACGCAAATTTGTTGTGATCGTCCTAGGAGCTGGGTCCACCGTAATGAACAGGAACAAAGGTCTTGGCGCTTTGACAGTTTAGAATCCAGTAGGGAGGGTGGAAGATTTAACAAGCAGGCTTGGTAGCACCGTAAATATTTTCCTAGTGAAACCAAGTGTATTTCTGTACATAAACCTATATTTTTATAATTCTAACTTTGTAACTAAGGTCTTCATTGGAGTTTTTTTACAATTATAAAATTTTCTTGCAAATTTTAGAAATTTAGAAAATGCAGAAGGACAGTTAAAAATCAAGAGGGCCCCTACTGCAGCTCAATGTTAGAGCACTCTCTGGGTTTGATACCCAGGACTGCAAATAAATAAATAAATAAAGGAGGCTTGATCACATTTAAGTAAATTTTTTGATTCCCAAAAGAAAAAAAAAACCCCCCCAAAACCCCTCCCTAAACCCAAAGCACCCCCACTCAATAAACCCTCAAAAAACTTGGCACAAACCACTTTTTTTGGGGGGGGGGAGGGGGACAGAATCTTGCTTTGTAGTTCAGGCTGACCCTAAGCTCACTATGTAGCCCAGGCTAGCATCGAACTCAAGGCAATCCTCCTGCCTCTGCCTCTGGAGTGCTGGGATTACAGGGGAGTGCTGGGATTACAGGCGAGTGCTGGGACTACAGGCCTGCCCCACCATGCCTGGCACAAACCACTTTTAACTTTCGTGTATGTTTATATTTTCACGCACTTTTGTTTGTTTGTTTCTTTTTTTTTCTTGGCACCCGAGATTGAACTCAGGACCTTGTGCTTGCAAGGCAAGTGTGGTGCCACTGAGCTACATTCCCATCCCTTCACACACTTTTATGCAAACTCTACTGAGTATGTTTCTGGTTTATTTTCCTTTTTGTTTATTTATCGTTATCATTTTACAGTGTTAATACTTTGTAAGCATAATTTTAAATGGCTGGTTAATATTCTGATTATAACTTTTCTATTTTGTATTTCCATGTTCGTAATCAATTGCTGTGAAATGAGTTTTTGTGTATAAAGCTTTTTCCATATCAGGACTATTTAGAGGCTAGGACTGTGTGCTCCCAAGAATGTGATGCTACTGATTGACTCAATCTTTTGCTAATTTGTGTAGAATATTTATTTAGTACTTATGATCACACAATCTTTAGGAAACTTAATTAAAGAGAAAGAATTAGCAATTTTAATACAGTGTAATATGTTTATTTTAGAGGTAGGTTTTGCTTGGTATGGCAGTATCCAGTTGGGGAGGTGGGTTAGAAAGAAGGCTTCTTGAAGGAAATATGCCTGAATATATGTGGAAGGAGAGGTAGTGACTGACCCGGATGAGAGCATCCTGGGTAGCCGAGAAAGCATGTTCCAATGTTTAATGCCATGAGAAGCATGGGAACTGCAAATCACTGATTAAAGTGAAAGCTTTGTGTGGAGAGAAGAGAGACTGAAGTTTTGAGCAAGGCTTAGTTTATGAAAAGGCTTGTGTGCCAACTGATGAGTTGGACTTTTTTTGACAATAGAAGTCATTGATGAACATCCATATATCAGCTCATTGCTTGTTTTAGGCAAACATCTGAATTTGGCAGAAGCAACATAGCTTTTCCACTAACATATGTAGAGGGGTCTAAATGGCCTATGCAAAAAATTCTTCTGAGAAATGCACAATGGGGATCTTTCAAAAGAAATATAAAAAGTAAGACAGCATGGTATTATAGGCTGACCAGTCTTTTGGAATTAAATCAGTGCTCCAGGTACAGGGTTAGGAGTTAGCTACAAGGATGAGGTGATAAATTAGGGAAGAGACCAAAGGGGCTCACTAGCACTGAGCACTTTTTTATGTATTACTTTGTTTTAGTTCTAAGTGTTTGCTATTCAGTGATTGGCTATAAGTGAAGGTATAGAGTCCCCTGAGGTATTAAAACATACTTGGGCTCATTAAAAGTTATGAAGGAGCCCATGGCCCATAATCCCAGGTCTTAGTGAAATGAGTCTTTGGCTTACATGATGAAAAGTATCCCTGGACACCTCAAGGCTCGACTTATGGCTATGCGTGGCACTTACCTCTGTTTTTAAACCCCAAGAGCAGATTACTGGTTTAAGCTATCAGTATTTCCTGACTCATTTGGCAGGTCCCACAGGCCCTGGCAAGGCTGATGACTTCCACAAAGCAAAACTGGGCAAATTCTTAGGATTTCAATCCACACCAAAGGATCTCCAGGTGTTTGACATTTTTATTAATCTCTTACCATGTTGTTCACTTGCTCTTTGACATAAGCCAAGTATACACTCTGCCTCCATAAATAGCCTGTAGAATCCTCTTTTCTTTCAGAATTCCTAGATTTTACTTTTATTTATTTTTCCTATCCTCATAGAATGTTCCAGACCTAATAGTTTAGTTCTTTGACTTCTATTCCGGATTTCATATTTATGTCCGCATTTCTACAAATACAAGATACTCATGTAAACCCAAGCTTAGCAATTCTGAAGTAGGTATTTTTATGTATTACAATGTGTGGCTTGTGAAGATGGTGAGAGAGTTTTACTTTCCACAGAATTTCTTACTCCATAGTTTCTTTCTTAACTATGGGTGTTCATCATGTTCCCTTTGGGTGAGATGTTTAGGTTTTGAGGGCTCTAAGCCAGCCAATAAAGTCATGAAGTCAACCACTGTGTCAATGTTGTGCTTCTGGGTGGTTGTATCCTTCAGCACACATAAGACACTCAGCCAACTAAAAGAGATGAGCTCAGAGATGTTGGCTCGGAGGAAAAGAAGGATCACATTGAGGTCATTGATTGGGCATCCCAGCATCTTTCTGCTGAGAAGATCAAAAGCTGGGAGCATCTCATAGATGGACAGGAGTCGTTTGTCCCACCGACATAACCGTGTGAGGTTGTATATTATCACTGGAACCAATAGGGTGTATATTGCTGCACTGGAGAGGCTAACAATCTGGAAAACAGACAGGGAGGTCATCCTGCATGTGATCAGATGGGGGACATGTGTCTCATCACGCAGCATCCCTGTCTTGATGGAGCAGTTAAATTCTTCTTGGAAGAAGATACCCAGATGGAAGTGACCAAGGTACAGGTAAGTGGCTGACGTGAAGAGGAGCAAGAGGGAGTTCTTTAGGAGGTAGGTGGCCACTAGTGAATGTGAGCGCTGCTTACATGCCAAATACCGCTCTAGCAAGGGAAATTCAAAGTATCGTTCTTTCCGGGCCCTGGGCAGGGGAAGAAAGGAGGCAAGGTTAGGAGGAACAGTTTAGAACCACGCCCTTGGAATCATGTGGGGAAGTAACAGATTTGAATATTCAACAGGATAGTCTTGGTTCACATGGAAACCTTTTGTCCCTTCACATGATTCTCCCTCTAAATCGGGTGTGTGAGTATACCTTGATTCTCCAAGTAATGAGTGCAGTGTAATAAACCCAGGGAATGATCATTGAGTAATGAATGGTCATAGAAGACTTATGCCCAACAAGGCAAACTAAAGCTCTAAGCTTTGAAGTAGGACTCTTAAAAAACAATAGGCTTATAAATTAGTACTACACTAGGAGACTAAAAGTGTATTTTAATTCTTGGCCTTTGTATTTCTGTGTGTGATTTTTGGGTCAGTTAATTAATTTTATATGAATAAATGTGCTAGTAAGTATTTGTTGAGAGCTGTGGTGTTCAGGTACAGATAAGCTAGTCTCTGCTCCAAAGAAGCTTAGAGTCTGACTTGTGGGGAAAGGGTAGATAGGACATGCAAGTACAAAATAAAATTAGCACTTGATTTGTTACTAAGTTGATAGATACAAACCATAGTAGTTATGAAAGTTAGACCCTAGAATAACATTGAGGGGTGGAGAGTTCGGAAATCTTTATAGAGAATATTGGCTTAAAGCTGGGTTTCAAAAGACAAAGAACTTTTTGAGAGGATATATTATGTACATAAACATGAGACCTAATCTAATTTCAAATTTTTGGCCTCTTGGTTGGGCCCACACTGACTACTGTATTTAAAACTGTACCACATTCCATCTCTGCTTTCCATACCTCCCTTGCTTTATTTTTTCTTCATAGCACTTATCATATCCTAACGTGTTCTGTTTATCTGTTGTCTGTTTTCCCTTAAGACAATGTAAGCACCATGTATGCAGGTGTAGCTTTGTTGCCCCAACCCGTGTCCCCAGCACACACACACTAATATATCTAAAGCACCCAGCACAGTGCCTGGTATCAAATAAATGAGCAACTAGATAAATAAATGATTTGTTCAGGGGAAAAGGAGCAGGCAGAGTGGAAGTTTTCTGCCATCTGTTGTAGGTTGAATATTCCCTCTCCAAAATGCTTAGGGCCAGAAGTGCTTCAAATTTTGTTTTCTGTTTTGGATTTTGGAATATTTACATAGACTTTCCCAAGGATGCTCACCAAAGATGCTAAAAAAATTTGAGTTTTGGATGTTTCATTTAGTTAGAAGTTTGAAGGAGCTGGGGAGTAAGGTGGTACATGTCTATAATCCCAGCACTCTGGAGGCGGAGGCAGGAGGATTGCCATGAGTTTGAGGCCAGTCTGTACTACAAAATGAGATCCTGTCTCAAAAATATAAGTTTGAAAAAAGTAGTTGGTGACAGTTTGTTGAGGCCTTGGGCAAATATTTGGGAGAATCCAGATATTTTTGATAGGCATGATGTGGGAGGTACTTGAGGTTTCTGAGTAGAAAAATAGCGTACATGAGTGGTGTTTTAGAGAGATTAACCCCTCTGTGGCTTGTATTCATCTGTAAACTAGAGGTAGAGTCCTTCTTTTCCCTTTACAGGAATTACATAAAATTCATGAGATTATGAGTGAGCACTTTGCTCTCTTAAGAGGGATGACGTAGAGGATAATTGAAAGATTACTGTGCATGGATATCATCTTAGTGCTCAAACAAGCCCTCCAGAAAAGGTGAAGAGATAGCTTACTTCTCCAGCTCATCCCAGAAGACATGTGGGTCAGAGCTCTTCTGCCGGATCTTCAACATGTGCTGCACCAGGCGGATGGAGCGATTATAGGATTTGTCCAGTTCACTGATGATGAACAGCAGGTCTGAGCTGAGTGCTGGCACAGCTGCATACTGCCACAGCAGCACTGGCAGGTACATGGCCACAGCCAGGCCCATCAGGGAGTAGGGGAGGGCCTGTAGGATGACAGCTGGCTGAGAAGGGAGTCCAGGGTGCTGAACCTTTAGTGACAGCATTGAGTGAGGGGCTCACTTCTCCCCAATTCCTGCTGGGGCTGGGGGAATGATATGGGGAATGGGCCACCTAAGACTCTCCTGATGGTGAAGAATATAGTAAGGCCTGGTTGGAATTGTAGATCTTCTGCTCCCCAGGTCTGTTATCTATTGTTTTTCTGATTTATGGGCTGAATAGGGCACCAAGGAGAAGAGAAAGAGCAAAAGTGAAAGAATGAGAGAGCATGGAGTATAGGGGATGGGGAAAGAGAGGCAGCGATTGAGAGATTTCCCCCACCCTGCCATGTGTCAGGCTAAGTAGCCAGCCTGAGGTCATGGCTACCAGTGGCCATGCATGGTATCCCAGAGGAGAGAAAATACCATTTTTTTCTATTTAGCCTTCTTTGGCTTACTTGGAACCCCTGAAACATTACCAAAAATCTCTGCAGTAGGCTCCAGTCTCCTGCTCAGAGTACAATGCAAGCCTGAGGAAGAAAAAAAACTAAAAGAGCATAAGGTGGCAAGTTTGATCCTTGGTACAAACAAAAACAAAACCAAAAAAAACCACCCAACAACAACAAGAAAAACAAAAAAACCCTAAAAGACAGAACTAAGAGAGAAAGAAAGCAGGGAGCCAGGACGGCCAATGCTGCTTAATTAGCAAAGGTTTTGCTCAGTCCAAGCCACTGATTTTTCTTAGTAATCAATTGAGATTAAGGCAAGCTATGTGTGCGGGTGGGACTATGTGTGAGGACATGGCAATCATGCAGTTTCTATGGAAACTAATAGAAGCTCATAAAGGACAAGACAAAGCATTCTTGAATTAGGAACAGAAGAGACAAAATATATGATTGTAATTAGAACCGTGTCTTCTAGTTAAGAAAGTTTGAACTGTGGGAATGGAATTTGGGTGGGAGTTACTTTGACCTCTGCAGGTAGGCTTCAGCTAGACTCACTTCTATAAACAAGCCAATTGTGGGGTTAACTGTTTACATTCTGCCCTGCTTACTCTTTATAGCCTGCTTTGGGCATAATCAACATTGTGTTCTCCTGCATTGGTTTCTCAGATGTACACTGGTCTTTTCTCATTGTTCAATTCTTGCTGATGTTGAATGATGATCCTATTTTGAAATTCTTTGGGGGTTCTTTCAGGTATGTAGATATGCAAACTGACTTTTAGGAATGCATAAGCCTTGTCTCTTCAGCTACATTATTAGCATCTTGAGGGAAGGGACTGAGATGGGTTGAATTGTGTTTGTGGTTTCTGCTCCCACTCCAAATATGTGGAAGCTTTAATCCTTAGTATCTCAGAATGAAATAGTGGAATAGGGGGCTGGGGATTTAGCCCAGTGGTTCTGCCATCTGTCTCGCAAGCTCAAGAACCAAAGTTCAATCCTTGGTACCAAAAAAAAAAAAAAAGGAAATAGTGGAATAGTGTTATTGTAAATATAATTAGTTAATTTAAAATGATGTAATATTGGGATAGGGTGGGCTCCTAATGCAGTGTAACTGATGTCCTTAAACACACACACACACACACACACACACACACGAAATGTATCATCTTACAGTTCAGTGTTGGTTCTCCTAAGGTTACGAGAGACAGATCTTCAAGGCCTTCTCTTTGGCTTGCAGGTGCAGCATCCTGGGTGTTCTTCCTGTGTGCACATCTGCCTCTTCATAGGATGTGTGTGTGTGTGTGTGTGTCTGTGTGTGTGTGTATTCCTTGAACAAAGAAAGTTAGGATAAGTACACTATGCTTCAAGAGAAACTAGAACCTTTTTACTTCTGTCCAAGAAATAGCATTCCTTGAAGATAAGCCTTTCACCCCTACAGAGTGGATTTTTAGGTTTGAAGTAGTTTGTGTTTAGAAGCTTCCTGGTGATCTTGATGATCAGGCATTTTGACTGTCCTGACATGTGAATCCACTCTGTAATGTCTGGAATTTGTCACTGTTTAGTCCCTGCTTGAACTATCAGTGACAGAGACTTCCTGGGCTTTCTCCATCAAGTCTCTGATTTTGTCCAAGTCCTAGAACTAACATTTTGAGGCCTTATAAAAGGTCATCCCAGGGCCGGGGATTTAGCTCAGTGGTTCTGGCTCCTGCCTCGAAAGGGCAAGGTCCTCAGTTTGATCCCCGGTACCAAAAAAAAAAAAAAAGATCATCCCTAGAAAATGCTGTGAGTGACTTCTCACTGAACACCATGAACTGAAAATACATATTATCACCATTTCCTCATAAAACACCACTAAGATGACAATAAGGGGTAAAAAGGCATACTCGTCCAAAGACAGTGAAAATAGGAGAGGAGACAAGAGCAGCAAAATGTTGAAAACCGGAATTGAGCTGTGTGATAGAAGACATCAGTGTGCAGACCGGGTCGGGAGTTGGGACAGGAGAAACCAAGCTCTGCAACTCAGGACCAGAAAGCCTCTAGATTGGGTGAAAACCTTAAAAAATGAAAGGATAGTTGGGGCTGAAAATAGGAAAATTGAAAAATATATGTGAGAAACAGCCTTGCAGATCTTTTCTGTAAGGTAATACATTCCAGCAACCAATCTTTCCTTCCCTTGCCAGAGGCTTGAGGTTTACTCTAGAGGGATGAAACCAGATTAAACTCTGCACTTGAGTCCATTGAGGGCAGAAGAACTGTACTAAGGATGCGGCATCAGCTGGAAGAACACTGGTGAGTCCTGTGACCAAGTTCCCAGAGGGTGGCAGCCAGGCTTAATACCGGCTGCACCCTACCTCTCCCCACAAATGAAGGATTGAGTGATTGTTAGAGAAAATTGGCCAGCCCAGAGAAAAGACTATCGTACTGGTGCTCGTCTCATTGAAGTTGATCAAAAGGATCACCTTCAACTAAGGCTGCCTGTCATCTAGCCTCTCCACAGGCAGAGCTTCCAGTCAGGTAAAAACTGTCAGCCAAGAGTCAGCAGGCATTTGAAGAATGCTTGAAACGTGAAAGTAAGTGGAGCAATGAAAGTAAGTGGAGTAGGGAAAATGATTCAGTGAGAGAGGGAGTATGATTCAGGTCTGTCTCCTTCCACTCAGCCGGCCTGATAGAGAGTTGGTGTTGCTTTACCTTGTGGGGCCAGAGAGATTTTGTCTTGTACTGGCCAGCCTCATCCTGTTCATGGTGAACCAGCGAGTCCCAACAGGAACTGTCCACATAGGCAGCTTGCCTCACACTGAAGTTACTGGGAGAGAAGCAGCTCATTGGAGACCCTGGAACAGGAGTGCAGCTTTGAGACAGCTCTGAGGTGGGACGGAAGAAAGGGAACCCAAGGGACCATCACTGAAGAGTTTTCAGGGGCTGCCTCCACAATTCTTTGTCAATTTTTGTGTCTGGCAAGCATTATCTTCTTCCCATGCCTTCTTCCCAAGCCCAGTTTTCTGAGTTTGGCACTGTTCTATCACAGGAAGATAGGGAGTGACTGGAGAGAACCCCATCATTTGGCTCATGCCTACCAACGAGCTGACAGCCTTTTAGGTATGGCAGTTCTTGTTCCTCAGAGCATCCCCTGGACACCCTGGCAGGTAGCCAGTGGTGGGCCCTACACTCCTGCAGTTTGGCACCAGAGGGTTTGTGGTTTGCTGGTGACATCTCCTTCCCGAGACCTCTGGTGTCTTTTAGATTCTAAAACATAGAGAATTAATTGCCTGGACTTCTGAGCCCAGCTCAAGCAAAAGGGCAGGTAAGTTGTGCTGGAAGGAAAGCAGGCTTGGAGGAAGGTCTCTGGCTTTCCTGTTTTCCCATCATTCTCCAAAAAGAGTCAGAGCCGGGAACTAATACCTTTCCCCATCTTGCAGATGACTGTAGAAGCAGTAGAAAGTTGGCATATCTCACTAGAAAATGTACTAAGCTAAAAGGGGAGGGGACCAGGAGATGGAAGGAGGGGAGGGGAGAGGAAGAGGATGAAAAAAGGATTGAGATGTGTTATGTACACACACCACAAGGACTGCAATCATTATGTATTATAAATGTGTACTAATAAAAAAATAGAAACTAAGAAAAAAAAAAGTGAAAGCCAGAGGTTCCTGTTCTTCAGAAGTTCACATTCTCTTTAATGGAGGTAGTGGATTTGCTAAGTTAATCCAGCACCTAAAATACTCCATATCTGTGTATGTTAATATGTGTGGCAGAAGTTTGTGGAGAGGAGGCAGTGGGTTTATCCAACTTCTCCAAGTAAGGCTATGTCAGGCATTTCACATATGTTCTTAAATTAGTAACCTTGGCGGGGGGAGGTGGGGAGAGGGCTCAGAGAAAATGAGAGGCTTATTCACAGTGTGACTAAGACAAAGATGACTCAGGACCAGAAAAGATGCTGGGACCCCACCTTCTCTAATCTACAGGAAAACTGGAATAAAAGGGTCATTATTGAAAACTGATACAAACTATATGAAACTGACATTATAGCTAATTATTTTTTATTGTAAAATTTCAGACCAAATTTAAAAACCATTTCAGTGTCTCTGCTTTGCTGATGCCTACACTCATGCATGGGCTGCCCCTCCAGTCATCCAGCCCAGCCTTGGAAACCTTGTGAAACCTGTCAGTGTGGGGAGCTGTCTCATCTCTGAGTCCATGCAAACAGTGAATAAAGTGCAGTCTTGGAAGCAACTTACCGGAGGAGAACTCCTGAGCGAATGCCAGCGACATCAGCAACAAGGGAAAGCCTACAGCCACAAACTTGACCATCTGGTCCAGGGGCAGCTCCAGGCGCAGGCCTTTGAGGTGGGAGCCCCTGCGGTCGGGCAGCAAGGCATCTGAGAGCATGTACTCTGCAGCTGTGTGTGCGAGAGACATGATGCTGCTGAGCTTGGGGCTACAGAGGTGGCAGGAAGTGTCCTGGGCCGGTGGAGTGAGGAGATGAGAGCTTCAGGCAGACAGTGCTGCAGCCCCAGCCTCATGGACATCTGTGCTAGGAGCAGGCAGTGGTTCTCTAAATAACTGCCCAGACCCTGAGCCAGGCACCCCGGTAATTAGTGGGTCCTTACTGGAGGAGGGTCGGATTTCATGTGTGGCTAGTGCCAGGCTGCTCTCTGGATTGTCTCTGAGCAGATGAAGTCCATGGCTTTATCCTGCCCTCTCATTAATAAAGTATTTTCAGCAGGGTGGTGCAGTGAAGGAGGGCTATGGGGTCAGGCTCCCCATGTAGTTGATGTGGAATTTGGGTGGGGATTGCTTAAATGTGTTGAAGCCCTTCATTTTGTGGTTTTGGGTGGGAATGGAGCCCCCTGGACTCAGCTCGGATTGCTTACTCTACAGAGTAGTTTTTGTTCAGTCTCTTTCCCAGAAACTGCTCTGTACTTGGTGTTAAATTTTCTGTCCTGATTCTGGTCTTCTTCCCCCAAATTTCAACAAATTTATGATTTTCCTTTGTTTTAGCCCCATCAATTCTTTAAAAAGCTGGAGAATGTGCTTACTTTTTAATTGTATGCTTTCAGGCACGTCACTTTGTCTCAGTTTTCTCATCCCTCAAATGGTGGTATGTTAGGATCTTAGGGACTGTGGGGATTAAGAGTGTTGTATGTGAAAGTGTTCTGTAAGCTGTAAAGTGCAGAGCAAGTACTGTGTTTTAGATAAGTGTCCTCTAAAAGTTCATGTGTTGAAGGCTTGGTCCCCAGCTTGTGCTGTGACTGGGAGGTGGTAGAATCTAGTGAAGGAAGTTAGTTCACTTGGGAGCAAGCCCTTGAAGGGGATATTGGGGCCCCAAACTCTTCATCTTCTCCTCTCTCTTTTTTTTTTTCAGTACTGGGACTTGAACCTAGGGCCTTTTCACTGAGCTATATCTCTAGCCCTTTTTTATTTTGAGTCAGGGCCTTGCTAAGTTGCCCAGGCTGAGCTTGAAGTTGTGACCCTCCTGCTTTAGTCTCCATTGTCTTTCTCTTTGTCCTGGTGGCCATGAAGTGAACAGCTTCTTCATGTGATATTACCATGATGTACTGTGCTACAGGCCCAAAGCAGTAGGGTCAATTGATCATGGATTGAAACCTCTAAAGCCATGGGTCAAAATAAACATTTTCTCTTATTAAGCTGACCATGTCTGGTATTTTGTCACAGTGATGGAAAGTATAACATAGTGAGTGTCTGCTCTTCAAATTGGTAGATTGGATGAGAAAATAGTGTATTCTTGTCACTAGTATTACCTTTAAATTTGTTATTAGCTACCCTTAATTGGCCTACATGCGAGTGCCCTTTGGCTGTATCCTTCCCATGAGGTAAGGAGTCCGCAGGCCTAAGGGATGTTCCCATTTTATACCTGTACAGAACCTATGCATCACCTAAGACACTCTTCAGTACAGTAGACTAATTTCCACCCAAATGGCTTTGGCCTGCTTCTGGGACCTATGTAGGCCTTTTCCTCATGTTTGTGCTGCTGGGGTGCACCTGGGCTCTAGGGTACTGGGATTTGGGGGTTTGGATGGAATTTAGAAGTCCTGGGTATCCATCTGTGCAATTGTGAGTTTGTTTTTGCTGTGTATGACTTAGCTGGGTTGGGAAGAAAAGGCTATTGGGTTGGGGGCCTGATGAATATAAAGATTCTAAATTTGAACCTGGCATCCCTGACCTTCATGACAGGTGTTTGTGTGTGTGTGTGTGTGTGTCTGTGTGTGTCTGTGTGTGTCTGTGTGTGTGTGAAGGCAGGCAGATAGAACACATTTTATTCAACAGTTTGTTACCTTGGTTTATAACATTTCATGTTTTAGACACATGGAATGTGGGTCTTTATTGGAACTGTTTTTAACCTGCCCACAAGTGTGTGACTTGGGTCTGCTTCTTCTCTTCCTACAGGACAGTGGATAATTCTGAACCACATCTGCCTCACGTGTGCTAACTGGAGTGATCCAGGCATGGGGACATCAGAAGAGATTGTTTCTATTTTCCATCACCTTCTCCATATTCTCATTTTGGTATCTTTTAATTATGTGTGTTTTCCCCAAATGGTTATTTTTGGTTTGAATACATATATATTCTTTTGCTTCTTAAAAATATTTATATATTTTTAAAGCATAATATACATACATTAAAATGCATTCAAGCATGCAGTTCAATAGATTTTCACCTTGTCAAGAAGCAGAACATTATTAGCACCTCAGAAACTGCCTCTGTGCTTCTTTCGAATAAGTTTTATTTCCCAAAAGGTGATCATTATCCTAACTTTAAATAGCATAGATTGGTTTTGTATTTTTTTTTCTTTTGGTACCAGGGATCAAACTCGGGACCTTGCGCTTGCGAGGCAGGTGGTGGAACCACTGAGCTAAATCCCTGGCCCCTGGTTTTGTATTTTAATACATTATAAAAATGGAATAATAGCTGGGGATTTAGCTCAGTGGTGCTGCTGCCTGCCTTGCAAGCACGAGGTCCTGAGTTCGATCCCCGGTACCAAAAAAAAAAAAGAAATAATTATCTATCTATCTATCTATCTATCCATCTATCTATCATCTTTTTTTTGGTGTATGTGTGTCTGGCTTCTTTTGCCATACATTATATTTATGAGAATCATTAATTTTGTTGCCTGTTTTTGTACTTTGTACACATGGAGTTATATGCACTTTTCTGTGTCTGGATTCTCTGTTAAAAATTTCTTTTTCTTTTTTTGGTACCAGGGATTGAACTCAGGACCTTGGGCTTGCGAGGCAGGCGGCAGAACCACTGAGCTAAATCCCCAGCCCTTAAAAATATTTTTGAGATTCATCCATGCTGTTATATGTATTAGAAATCCATTACACAAAAAATTGCATAACAAGTTAGGGCTTAACACAATAGCAAAAGCCATTAATCATCCCAAAGATTCTGTAGATTGGAAATTTAGGAAAAAAGCTTAGCTGGGTTGTTCTGGCTCTGCGTCTCTCCTGAGTTTAAAGTCAAGATGTCCATTGAGGCTGCAGACATCCAGAGGCTTGGATGGGCTATAGTATCCACTTCCAGATTCACTCAGTGGGTGTTGGGTGGGGGCCTCATTTCCTTGTTGAGCGGGTGGAGTGGGCCACATTTCTTTACAAATGGGTCTCTTACAGGGTAACACAACACCTGGTTTTCCCAGAACAGATGATTTAGGGGAGCTAGCAAGAGGAAGCCACAGTGCCTTTTATGAGCTAATCTTTGAAGTTGGAACTGCTATTTCTGATTTTTGTAATTCACTAGAAAGTCATTAAGTCCAGCCCATTTCCAAAGGGAGGTGGATTAGGCTCTACATTTGGAAGGCACATCAAGTAATCTAATGTACTATTTTAATTTACTGTATTAGATAAGTGAATTTTTTGAGGAAATTGCCCACTATTGAATCCAAATGTCAAATTTATTGTCATATTATTTATAATATCTTTATATATCAATATTTTATTATATAACTTAAAATATACAGCACAGTTGAATTTTACTTACAGAGAATACCTACAATCCTTAATTCCATCATTAGCATTTTACTAAGCTTGCTTTTTAATCCATAAATCAATCTATCTATCCTTTCCACCACCCACCAATCTTTTAAAAAGATGCATTTCAAAGTAAATCACAGACATTGATATTCTTCTCCCTAAATACTTTAGCATGGACATCACTAACTATACTGTATTTCCATATGTATTTAATTTTTTTCCTTTAGAGATAAAATTTATGTAAAGTAAACTTCACAAAGTTTAAATGTTTACACATGGAGTCTGACAAATGCATACACTTGTGTAGTTTGTTTTCCACGGAGGTTAGAATATTATCATCACTCCAGAAAATTACATCCAATTCTTTTTTTGGACATATTGGTTTTCTGGTGAAAATCTCCATGCTTTCATCTCATTAACCCATTTTTTTTGAGGGGAAGGGATTTATTTGGCTTACAGTTCCTAGAGGTTTTAGTCCATAACTGGCTGGCTCCAAGGCAGGAATGATGAACAGGCATTGCAGAGGAGAAACAACATGGCACACACAAGGCGGCAAAGGCAACAAGAGAGTTGAACAGCATCTTTCTGCCCTTTTATCTTATTCAGATTACCAGGATTAGGGCTGTGCCAAACTAATTACTCACACCTAGTGGTTCAGTAATCACACTCCCTTAAAACCCCAGCACCACACATTCCAGATTCAACTACCTCTGAAAAAGAAAGTCCCACCTCATCTGAATGAGGCTTTGGGGGGACATCTAGACAGAAACATTCTGCCCCTGTACCCACAAAGACTCATACATATCCCTTTATGCAAAAAAGCATTTAGTCCACCTTAAGAGTTGCCAAAGTCCTAATAGTCTCAGCATTGCTGAAAAGTACAAGTCTAAAGTCTCCTCTGAGATTTAAAACAAACTCTTATCTGCAAGCCCTGTACAAATGAAAATAAAGTCAAACATTTCCAACATTCAATGGCATAAGACAGACATCACCATTCCCAAAAGTACAAACAGGAGGATAGGATACAAAGGGATGGGACCAAAGTAAGTCCAAAATCCAGCAGGCCAAACATTACATTCTGCAATTCCACTTCCCGCATTTGAGGCAATCTGTGGCAAGTTGTGAACTCCAAAGGGCTTTGATGACTCTAAATCCCTGTGGCATTTCTGCTGGTGTGGCTCCCATGGCTTTTCTCTGGGGCCAGCTCTGCTCCCTCTTTGCAGTTTTCCTCAGAAAATGGATGCTCCTGGGATCTCCAAACTTCTGAGTTCTCCACTGCACCTTGGCTTCACACTCACAGCTTCACACAGTGCCCTCTCAGGGGCATCCTGCCTGGCCTCCCAGGCTTCTTCTGAAATCTGGGTGGAAGCTTTCCTGACCCCACAACTCTTCCATTCTGCATGCACCTAAAACCAGTGCCACAGAGATGATGCCAAGGTCTTCTGCCAGCTGGAGCAGTAGCCAGGTTTCCCTCTCTCTTGGCTGTAGGGGTAGAGAACCTGGATCATTAAGCACTCTGAACTCAATCCCAAGGAACAAATTCCCTAGGCCACCATTTTGGAACAACTTCTTTAGGTCATTGCCATTCCAGAACATGGTGCTCGGGGGCTTTCTTCTCAAAGCAAAATTTTTCACGTTTACAACTCTGAGACTTCAAGGGGTGGAGTCTGCTGCTTCCTGTGATGCTCTCAGACCATTTTTTTCTTTTCTCCTATTCCTTGTTAGCAATCAAGATCTCTGCTCTATCTTTGCAGTCCATAGCTTTACTGGAGCTTCCTTTCTGGCCAAACTAAAAACATTTTAAATCATTCTGCTGGGGTCTTTGCTCTGGATTCTCAACATAGATCTAGCTAAAAGCTCCCAACAGTAGCCATGCCACCACCTCAATATTTGACCTTGAAATCATTTCTGCAAGATTAGTTAGTCCACTGCCCCTAATCTCAGTCTCAGGTAAAGTCTCTGGACTTGAACAAAATGCAGACAAACTTTCTGCCAAGCTATAGCACACATCATCTAGAGTCCAACAGACAATGCAATGCTTCCTAGCAGAAAATTCCCTAGCCTGGTCATTACAAGCGTTCTGGTCTTCTGAGCTCTGACCAGAATCTCCCAGACAGAACAGCCTAAGGCATTGCAGCTCTACTTCTTCAGCTGGCAGCTCTGAATCTTTTGGCAAAGTCTCTGAACATAAGCAAAATGCAGACAAACTTTCTGTCAAGCCATAACACACATCAGCTGGAGTACAGCAGCCAATGCAATCCTTCCTCCCACAGAAACTTCTCCAGTCTGGTCTTCACCATCTTCCTGGTCTTCTGAGCTCTGACTAGAATTGCCTATACAAAACAGCTTAAGGCATTCCAGCACTGCTTCTATAGCCAACATCTCTGACTCTTTCCCAACTCTTCCCCTTCCCACAAGCCAGTTCCAAAGGCTTTTGAGCCACATGACCAAGTAATGTCATAGCAATGACCTCACTTCTGGTACCAAATTACTGGGTTACTTTTCTCTCTTTGCTGAGACAAAATACCTGACACCCAAAGTTGAAGGGGAAGGGGTTTATTTGGCTTATAGTTCCCAGAGGTTTCAATCCATAACTGGCTGGCTCCAAGGCAGGCATCGCAGAGGAGAAACAACATGGCACACATGAGGCAGCAAAGGCAACAAGTCCATCTTTTACCTCCTTAATTGTATTAATCAAAGTTCTGTTAAAATTTCTATCACTAACTCCATAATCTGGGAAATTTATGAACCTCTTTTGCAGTCTATTCTTTGTCTTCATTATTGGTCATTGCTATAGCTTGTATCTGGACTATCTCCCAAAGCTCAGTGTGTTAAAAGTCTTGGTCCCCAGCCTAGAGCTATTAGGAGGTGGTAGAAACTTTAAGAGGAGGAGTCTAGCTGTAATCCTAGCTACTCTGGAGGCAAAGGCAGGAGAATTGCAAGTTCAAGGCCATCCTGGGCAACTTAGTGAAATCCTGTCTCAAAATAAGAATTATAAAGGGCCAGCAATATAGCTATCACCAATATCGGTGATATAGCCTGGGTTCAATCCCCAGTAAGTACCATAAAAAACATAAATAACAAAAAAGATGGAGCCTAGTAGGAGATCTTAGGTGATTGGAGGTGTACCCTTGAAGGGGATAATGGGACTCCCGCCCTTACCTCTATCCCCATTTTGCTTTCAGGTTTGATGAGGTAAGAAGTTTTGCTTTGTCACAAGTTTCTCCCATGATGCACTGCTGCACCACTGGCACAAAGCAATGGGGCCAATTAAGCATGGACTGAGACCTTCAAAACTATGAGCCAAATGAACCTTTTTTCTTGATAAGTTGATTATTCTAAATTTTTGTTCTAGTAACTAAAAACTGGCTGACATAGTCATATGGCCTTGCTCTTTGCATTTCTAGTAATTTTGCATTATATGCTGAACAGTGTGTATAAAAACCCATTGAGAACTGCAGATGCTCAAAGTAAGGCTACCTTTCAGCAACAGTGGTTCTTATTTTTATTTTTAGGCATATTGGGTGAGGTGCTGATCACAATCCAGTCAGAATTAAGCCCTGTTAGGCCTGTTTTGGAGTTTATTAAGATTTGCTCAACATTTAGCTTTTCTCATTCTGAAGCCTGATCTTTCCAGGTTTTTATTGAAAACCTATTGGGTCTTTGTTTCATAACCTGTGAAAGACTGTGAGAGGTTCTGTATTCTCCTCAGAGGATGTCTGTTTAACTCTTTAGTGTCCTACTTCAGGTAGCTTCAAAATATGGCAAATGTTTTGATGGGGAGATAGACTCTGTGAGTTTGTATCAGTGAGGTTAATACTGGCCCCTCTTTCTGGAG